CCTGCGAAGAAGGTACCCGCTTGCCAATGCGGGGCGATACTCTGTCTGATGCAGAGAGCTGTTGAGACGATGTGATAACACTACCCCCCATGTCTCATCGTAGATATCCGTGAGGAGGGACTCGGATTCAACCTCCGGGAGCGCATCCGTTGGTGTGGAGGCATTCGCGGGTGCACCCCAGCCACCCGGGGGTGTGGGCGCGGTACCGAACTGGTCCGGCGAAGAGACACCGCCGCCGAGGTTCGGTGTAGCAACAGGTGTGGAGGAAGGCTGCTGATTGAACATGCCCAAGGGAATGGGGAGATAAGGCGGCTCGAGATGTAGGTCAGGAGGAGTGGTCGCGCCCAAGATCACCAGATCCAGCGTCGTGGACCTGGCCTTGCCGTACTGATCGGCAAAGTTTGTCCACGCTTTTTATCTGTTAGCTCTGAACCGGCAAAAGATGGGGCGTGCACTTACTGTCAACCTCCTCCTGGTCCACAGGGTCAGTGCTGACAATGATGACCTTCCAGCGCGTCTGAATCGTATCCATGATATCCCTTGTTGCCTTCCATATTTCACCCCGTACCTCCGGGAGAGGCCGAGCTGCAACAGAGTTACGATAGCGAAGGCAATATGACATGTTCCGTTGAAGTGCCCCGAAATTATCAGACCAAGCCACACTCAACCAACGTTGATCCAGACTACGGGAACAAGCAATATGGAGATGCTTGCCTTCCTGCAGCGGCGACGAACCCTCCGATGACAGTTTGAAGCCAATAGATTTAGGAATAGGCTCTGCAAGCAACACCGGCGGTGCGCAATTCACCGGGCCCACCTCGGACGATTTAGGCGGACAGCGGCTGTACACTTCGAGGGCCAGGTTCAAATATTCGGCCTGAGGAGGAACAACGAGAGATTCGGCCGAAGTGACAAAATCCATGGGGATTATCTGAAGAACAAGCTCGTTCAGCTGCCGTGTCTGTTGCTTGTCAGCTTCCGCGACGTATTGCTGGAAAAGAGACCAGAATGCAGCGCAGATATCCACCAATGATGCGGCGTGAGCAAAAGGATTCACTATGTAAACTACAATGTTGCTATCCTTGCTTGGCGGAGTACTCAAAAACGCAGACCCTATCTCAGTCAGAATAAGCAAATTCAACATTGTCGGATATGGCTTACCGAGCACTCCACAAATAGTCTTGAGTGACTGTATAACCTCGGAGTAACGTGAGTCTGCTGATGGACTGATGTTCCAGGAGCCCAGTCCACGGTCGAAGACGTTGGAACTTTCGCCTCGACGATGCTCGCCAAGATTGCAGCCCGAGTAGACCAGTCCAAGCCGCTCTAAGAATGTGTCGGCTGCTCGAGCAGCAAAATGAGGATGTATGCAATATGCGAGAATGTCCTTTTGCCCATGCGCAGGTTCCAGCCCGAAAGTCTCCCAGAAGGATATAGCCGGAGGTAGTGTCTCCAGGAAATCCTTCCCCCGACGCACGCGCAAGTGCGGTGGGGGTAATTTCACTATGGTGCCCTTTCCAGTCTCTCTACGTTGAGAGGACTGACGCGGGTTGGCACCGTTGGATGACGAAGGCGAAAGCGCACTGGAATCTTGCAACGAAACAAAACTGTTCAGGTCCAGTCGCTCCATTCCACTCACGAAAGCTGCATCACCCTGAAGAGTCTCGGGAGAGCACACCTCATCAGCATAATCAAGCAAACCAAGGGTTCCATCTATCTTATGGTCCAGAGATGATTGCGTCACTTGGTCAACCAATAGCTGAGCAATTTGAACCTGTATGTCCTTGCGAATAAGCACTGGCGAGACTTGGTTCTGTGCCAGGGAGAAATAGCCCGCCATTGACCAGTCAGAAAAGGTAGACAGAAAATTTCCCAGGAATACCGAGTCCTCCGGTCTCTGGGCTGCAGTTTCCTGACCAGTCCGGACAGTTGACTTGTCCTGGGATAAAGCTAACGAAGTTCCCGAATTGGAGCGAGTACGTTTCCTTTTTCTGGTGGAAAACGTGGCAGGTGAGAGGCCACTTTCAGAGGCACTCTCATCACTGTCAGCACTTACACTGCTGCTCATGTCCGAGTCCGATGATGATTCTTGCATCTCCTCACTATAAGGAGATCCGTAATTGTCGGGATCCTTTGACGTGCCGCTTTTCATCTTTCCGCTGTGACGTGGAAGGCCAACAGTTGGAATGTCGCTTGTGACGGTGTCTGGCCCCTTGTTCCTTTCAATCCCACGAAGATTGAATCCAAACTTTCCATCAGCGCCGTATTTCTGGTCCCAGAGGGACATGTTTTGTTTGAAAGCAACTGCATTGTAGTAACCTGGCCCCTGCCCTTTCTTGGCAGGCCGTTTACTTTCAGGTTGCGACTCCGGGAACAGGATCTTCTTGACCTCCACCGGGCTCAAGGGAGGACTTATTGTTCGGGGTTTGTCCTCCTGAGGCGTGAATACAGGTGCCTTGGCCTCCTGGGAAGTTTTCTCGGGCTGCAGGTCTGCTGTAGCGACCACAGGACTCAACTGAGCACTTGCAATATTCATGGCTGGTGTCTGTTCAGGTGAAGCCTGGCCGTCCACAGTTGGTTGGATCTCGGGCTCATCTGTATCCATGAACCCAGACAATTCTTGAATCGCTTCAGCCTGTTCGCCAACACCTCCACGGTCGAAGTCTGGGTTGTCAAAGAAGCTGAAATCAGCATCGGTGATTCCTTTAGCGCCAAAGTCTTTCTCATTGATATCTCCGAATAAATCATCGTCGTCGTTCGTATCGTATAGGCCCGAACCAACAACAAGTCCTGCCGACGGGCCAAAGCTTATCACATCCGTTCCAGTTCTCTCTTTACTGAGTTGACGATGATGAATCTGCCTGTCCTGTTGCATAAAGTTCGAGCTTTGCTCAATGTCGTCCGCGAAAGTATCGGAAGTAACCATGGGATTTAAGCCTGTTGCGGCGGCCCCATCAGGCGGTGTTGGGTATACAAGACTAGCAGTTTGAAGGTCAGGATACTGCGATGCTCGAGAAAGGCTCTCGAACCCCTCGGGCAGGTTAAGAAGATCGGGAGATGATGCGTCCTGATCTCTAGTCGGCGCTTCTTGATGGACAGACGGAGGCTTAGGGCTCGCCTCGGCAAAGCTAAGTTTCTCTGTTACACGCCAATTCTCTGCGAAATCTAGAGGGTCACCAGCAATGGATGAGACACCTTCCATTTCACCATAGAACTCTGATGATGCTGATTTCGTTCTCCTGAAGCAGTAAATAGCTGGCCAAAGAATCCGCTTTAGGGGAAGCATGGAAGCGCCTTCCTCGCTGGGCCGCCAAACTTCCCCGGCGAGTCTAGAGTAAAATGGTTCCCAAACTTCAACTTCAACCCAAGATTCATCATCGATGCCATCCACATGAAGACCAAAATTGGATAGCCACCAGAGCACATTGACCTTCCACTGTTTGCGAGTTGCCGGGCTGGACTTCTCATTCCCTGAGACCCCAACATTAGGCGGATACGGGGATCCTGCATTCAGCTGGGGCGGATTAGCGGCGACAAGCCTGGCAATCGACCCACTTGGAGATAGCCAGAGGTCAGTGCCCGGTGGAGTGTCGTGTATGCTCGCAGGGACTTCTTCCGGTGTGAGTAACCGCGTCAATCCAGCCTGCGATATAGTCTGTAGAGCTACTGTTAGCTTTCCGGCAGATGTCAGCTGGATCTGAAGCGTAGTTAAGGACGGTGCCAAAGCAAGGTCATTCTTGGAAACGTGAGAGTTGTCGCAGCCATCTTTTTCAACAACGGTAAAGAGAGTACGAGAGCCGAGGGGAATTGCGTTGCGTTGCCGGACTAGTTGGAGGCTAACTGCTCCACTGACGGCCGAAATGAATGATGCGTAAATAGTAGCGAAAGGTGTCATGGCGTTCGGCCTCTGTGATCCCGCGTTCCCCGACGAATTTTGTGTTTCTGTCGAGAGATTCTTGACTAGATCCAACGCGGAAACGTTGCCAGAGGAAGAGACTGTGGCATATTGTTAGAAGCCAACATCAATGTGTAGAGTTGAGGAGTACATTGATCAAGCGCATACACACCTTTCAGAGTAGCCGAGCCAATGGCGAGGCGACCTGAATCGTCTCTGCCGTCATTCGGAGATAGCGGAGACAGGCTTTCAAATCCAGGAGTAGCAGAAAAGACCCATAAACATAATCGTCTGGGATAGCTTGAAACCAAGCAATTTCGGTCCCTTAGCTGGAGCTCCAGGTCCTTGAGACGGCTGAGATGCTTAAGAATGGCGTAGCCATTACTTGGCGACTCGCCAGGATCATCGGTGTAAATTCTCCAGTAAATATGGGAGAATCCATCCTAAGATGCCAAGTTAGGGGGTTTACCGGTATCTTTCTGGGGAGGGAAGAGGAACCTACAATGGCGCGTATGTTGGTGATGGACCCTCCGGGAAAGTCCATGATTTAGTTATAGTCCCCAAGGAGACACCGGCTGTTATGTATTTCTAGCCAGGAAAGATAGTACAACTGAAAGAGGATTCATTTCCAGCAAGATGCGCGAAAAGGATCATGTCTCAACAAGCCGCCCATAGTACTATTTGGAGACTTTGGGATAATGCAACAGGTGTCAGTAGATAGATAGGCTCGGAGATGCCATCGCTGTTTTGGGGTGGGAGAAGGGGGGGAGAGCTCGCGGGTTTCAAGGAATACCGGGAGGAAAGAGGCGCATTTAAGTATCAGACTAGAGGCGCCATAGACCCAGCGATATGCTCCGAGCTCTGATAAACGACCGAATGGCAGCCGGGCGAGGCGAGGCAGATGCAGAACAGCAGAAGATGCGATGCCATCGAGACCCAACGGAGGTTGCTTCGGCCCGCGAGAGCCAATCATGCGTGATCGACACCCGCAGCGTCACGTGGACCCAGCTATCGCTATCGGCGAACTTTTTTTCGTATCGCCTTTTTTTCCCTTTGGTTCAGCTTCTGCGCTTCAAGCTGGTCTTTTCTCTCTCAGCCCTTCGCCATGAAGCTCTCCAATCAGTCGGAGGTCCCCGTCTATACCATCTCCGGCTCCAACACTGCGCGCCCTCTGCCGGAGTGGCTTGCGCGTCGGAGAAAGCGCAGCTTGAAAAATGATCCGGAGTATGCGAACCGCATCGAACTACTCCAGGACTTTGAGTTCGAAGAAGCAAGTCAATGCGTCCGTGTCAGTGAAGATGGCGAATGGGTTATGAGCACAGGTATGACCATCTTCCAGACTACCATTGGTGCTTGTAATATTGACTTTTTTTTTCGCGCAGGAACATACAAGCCCCAGATTCATACCCACTATCTGCCGCAACTTTCCCTCTCATGGGCTCGCCATACAGTAGCCCTGAACACTACTTTCCTTCTGTTATCCTCTGATTACTCCAAATCTCTTCACCTGCAGTCCGATCGATCGCTCGAATTCCACACCCCGCAAGGCTGCCACTACACTACAAGACTTCCCAGATACGGCCGTGATTTGGTGTACGATCGGCAATCAACCGAAGCCTTGGTCCCCTCGGTCGGAGTTAACTCGGATGGCATGGGAGAGGTTTTCCGCCTGAACCTGGAACTTGGTCGGTACATGCGCAGTTTCGAAGTCGATGTTGGTGGAGACGATTTCACTTCTAGCGGTGGCGGTACCTTACAGGGTGGTATCAACACCGGCGCGGTCAACACCGGTGCGATTGCCGAGGAAAGTCACAACCTTCTTGCGTTCGGTACTACATTGGGTACGGTAGAGCTTTGGGATCCCAGAGCAAAGGGCAGAGCCGGAATCTTGCTGCCACCCACTCAGTCTGGCCCTGATGAGCCCCGGCACGAGATCACGGCCTTGGAATTCCACCGTTCTGGCCTGACCCTCGGAACCGGTTCTTCGAACGGTCTCATTCACCTCTACGATCTTCGGTCCCCCGTACCACTACTTAAGAAGGACCAGGGATACGGCTTCCCTATCCACACCTTGAAGTTCCTACAGCCATCAACACACACCCGCGAACAGACTCTGGACCCGAAGATCATGTCCGCGGATAAGAAGATCATCAAGATCTGGGACCCTCGTGATGGAAAGCCCTGGACATCCGTTGAACCCGCCGTCGACATCAACTCGGTCGCATGGTGCAAGGATAGCGGTATGCTTTTGACTGCTAACGAAGGTCGCCAACAGCACTCGTTCTTCATCCCGCAACTGGGTCCCGCTCCCAGATGGTGTTCATTCCTGGACAACCTCGTTGAGGAGATGGCTGAAGACCCCAACGATCCTAACGCTTTCAGCAGCGGCCAGACTGGCGCTGTTTACGACAACTTCAAGTTCTTGACTGTTCCTCAGCTGAAGACCCTGAACCTGGACCACCTGATCGGCCGAACCAGCCTCCTCCGCCCCTACATGCACGGTTACTTTGTGGCACAGCAGCTATACGAAGAAGCCCGCCTCATCACCAACCCCTACATCTGGGAAGAAGAACGTGCCAAGCGTGTTAAGGAGAAGATCGACAAGGAGCGCGAGAGCCGTATCCGCGGCAAGAAGAAGGCCGCCGTCAAGGTCAACAAGAAACTGGCCGAGAAGCTCCTCACCATGGAAGAGAAGAACGAGCGTCGCAGAGCCCAGCGCGTCCTACAAAAGGGTGGAGATGACGACATGGTCGACGCCCCTGCACCAGCCGCAGCAGAAGCAGCACCCACCGAAGAGCCCGGCAAGAACCTCCTGGGCGACAGCCGTTTCGCCAAACTGTTCGAAGACGAAGACTTCGCCATCGACGAGAACTCCCACGAGTTCAGACTCCTCAACCCCAGCACATCCGTCGACCAGCCCCCAAGAAAAGAGCGCGGCCTCACCGCCGCCGAGCAGGAAGCTATTGACGACGTCCCCGGCTCCAGCTCCGACGACTCCGAGTCCGAAAGCGAGCCCGAAAGATTCACCAAGCCAGCAACCTCCGGCAAGATCTCCACGGCATCCTACAAGCGCACCAACGGCCGCCAACCCCGTATGGAAGTCACTTCTTCGTCCGGCGTCGGCGCTACTCGCGATCGTTCGTTCGCTGCGCGTGCCCAGAACATGCAGTCTCGCCAGAAACCCACCCGTCGCAGAGGTGTCGTCGGTGAGAGAGAAGTCACTTTCCAGCCTGCAGGCAAGTCCCGGCAGCAGCAGAACAGGGCCCCGGCTCCCACTGCTCCCACCAACAACACCAGCTTCAAGGCTAAGGAGCGCCGAAGCGCCTCGGGTAACACTTTCCGGAAGATGTGATTTGGCAACAAGCCGAGAATCCCCTCGTGAGCACTGGCAGTTCATATATACCATATATATATACTCCCCAGAGCTCTCCTACAGCCGGCAGAAGACAGACACAGTTGTCTTGCTCCCCCCATCCATCCATCATCTCCTTATCACCTACCTACCTACATGGCCGGTTCCCAGAAAACATGCACGCCCACCACCCACTTCACTTCTCTCCTCCTGCTGGGCGATACTAGACTCATCTCATGTCTATCTTATCAACAATCAGAGATATGACATGACATGCAGAAGACGGTTTAACAGGCCACGTGGACCCTGCTACCATCCGTCATCATCATCTGCATGTCCACCCGCCTCTCTTGCCAGAGGCTTCCGACGAAGAAAATCATCGGGATAAGTCGGGAAAGAAAAACATTTCACACCTATTTAAGGAAATCCTGGCGACGAGGTTCCTTGGATTAGCATGTGATAAGCAGATACCCACCCTCAACTTTCCAAAATTATTGTTGTCCCTTGTACTGTACATAGATTTAAAATTGAAGGGAATGAGAGAGAAACAAAAGAAACTATCTAAAAGCATTGTGTGCATGATTGGAGTAGATAAAAGGCGTTACTAGCTAGGTTTTGAGGGTTGTAATGAAACTTGTGGTCTGTGGGACTTTGGTAGCGTGCCTTAGATTTGTTATTTGTTATATCATGATAGATTGCGTTCCGATTCATTGATAGCTATCCACAAGGAGCACAAGCAAGCAAGCAAGCAAGCAACTTCAGGCCTTCCCCTGGGCCTGTATACCTCTGATTACAGATCACTCGATGATGCTAACCAGATGCTAACCAGAGACGAAGATATGTAGAGTCATAAGAAAGAAGTGTAAACCCAGACGGCGCGAGATAAAGAAGAATAGTAAAAAGAGAAAAATGAATGAGGGATAGATCAATATCCACATATTCAAAAGGCAGACAAAAACAATGAATACAACAGAACCCAAAAACACTATTCACTCCAGAATGCAGACGGCCGTTTAAACGAATTTTGACACCAGAAATCAAAAACAATAGAACCTTGAAGAAAAAGCCCCTAATGTCATCCTCTATTCGCCTTTCCGGGTCGCACATGGCCGTATCGCTTGCAGATCAGTCTATAAAAGTAGATCACTGTGAGTAGGGGGAAAAGGAAAAAATAAATAAGGCATGGCCTCGTAAAAAGACAGCATCAGAAGAGTGAAGTTTAAGGAAAGCAGAAATATGAAGGTTGAGAAGAAGCCCCCAAATGGCAGCTTCCAACAGAGCCTTCAAATGCAGACACGCATATTAAAAAGTCCGACAACAAGATAGAGGGAATAAGAGAATGAGGACTATATTTGGCGTCTCCATTAGAGTCGCCTACCTTGGTTGCCATGTCTGCCTTCTTCGAAGCTTCGCCGGGAAGCCCCAAAATCGCTCATAGCAAACAATAGCGGCTCGTCCTCTTCAGCTTGTGATGGTGGCGGAGGAATGTTTCGGCCCGAACTTGGTCGTCGCCCAGCTCCCCGACGATCTTCAACAGCCGAGGTGCCGCTATTACTGCCACTTGCATTGCCATCACGATCATGATCGCGCTCAGCGAGATCAGAAGGAGCGCCGCGCGCAAGACTACTCGAGCCGGAGCTGAGGGAGTGCGGCCCACCAGATAGTCCTCGCCCCCGAGAAAGGCCGAAGCGTGGTTGGTAGACATGATTGTTCGACGGCGACGGTGTCGCTGTTGGCCCTGACAGTGATGTCCGCTTGTGGGGGCTTGTTCCGTGCCCCGTTGAGCTCGACCTTCGGCTCGGATCTTCGCTGACCGAAGGGGGACGCTGTTCCCTGCGCGTTGGCTGGGTGGTTGATTTAGCCCCTTCCAGGTCATGCTGTCTCTGTAGAGCGCTTAAGCTATTGTGTGATCTCTCCTCAGCCCCGAGGCTTACGCTGCGCAGATTGAAGGGGAATATCTCGTCATCATCGGCCGCAACTGGTGGAGGGGGTGGAGCAGCAGAGCTGGGGCGACGATAAGGTGGGAATGGCAACCCTGGTGACGTAGGGATATCAATGGCATTCACCGTTGCGACGGACGGGCGATGGGGTATGGTCGGACCCTCGGGAGTGTAATCTCCGACCGAGGAGGGTTGCTCACGACCTCTATCGTTGCCATAATCAACGATGCTGTTAGAACTTAGGCGAGACGGAATGGCCGGAGTATGTGGGGTATGGGGTGAAATGGGTTTGCCCGGAGAAGAGGCCGTCGAAATCGAAGTACCTGCCACCATGGGAGGCACTCCCGAGAGCTGCTTGCTCGAAGAGGTCGACGAGCGCTGCAAGAGCATAGAAGATGACATTGACTCCGACAGTTGTGCATTCGAATCTCTCATTCGCTGGAACCGGGTCAACGCAGCCGAAGTGGCCGTTGTCCGGCGTGCAGTCACATCAGCAGAAGCTGAGTTTGATGTTTTCAGGAGATCTTTCCTCAAGTCCAGCATCTTCAGGAACTCCGTGATGTTCTCATCGTCTGCATGAATGGAATCTGCACTTGTTCCCGTGGCTTCAGCAAGTAAGCCTGACCCAGGTTGAGGGTTGGAAGACGTTGCACTGGTCTTGCCACTCGAGTTTTCGTCGTCTATTTTGTTGATGTTGCCCGAAGAAGGCCTACCCCGTCGATGAGTGAAGGCGCTACTGTACCTTGCGATTGGCGTAGGCCGAGGCGATGCCGAATTAGAAGAAGTAGTTGTAGTCTCGGAAGCCCCGGGCAATGGTAAGGATTTGCGAGCGGAAGCTGCCATGGACGGCGGTGGCATGTTCTTTGGTTCTGGGAACGACGGGCGAGCCATTGTCCCTGACCGAGGCGACATACCCAGTGGAGGATCAACAAGAGATGGCGACGCAGACAATGGTGGTGCTTTGAACGGAGGGAAAGAAATAGACGATCGTCTAGCAACGCCCGGGCTACTTTCATTTGCCAAAACGGCAGCACGACCCAGAGGACTTGCTTTCACAACTTCTACAGGCTTCCGGGAAGAGGAACTCGGAGGGGATGGCGATGCAGCTCCTGATTCGCGGGCGGCACGAAGAGCTGAAATTGGACTCGCACTGGTCGTAGGGCCGACGTGGTGGAACGTTGAAAGACTCCCATAAGCTCGACTTGGGTCAGGGTCTTCGACAGTTCGTTTCTCGACAGGAGCCGATCCGACCCCGGAATTGGCGGCCTTGAGGTTGGAATCCCTGCTAGGAAGTGAAGGGCGGAAGACTTCATCATCGGCCCCCATGAATCGGGAACTCAAGAGAGCTTCCGAATCATCCACTCGAAACTCACAGCTTGTTCGATAGGTCACTTGGATGGAAAGGTATCCAACCGGCGACTCCGTGGTCCCAAAGGTATACGTATCGACCACCCTATTAGGGCTGTCAAATAGCGGCGCAGTCAATCGATCCGGCTTGGAGTCATCCGGATTGGGCTTCCCAACCAAGATACGATACCTGATCTTAAGCGCCGGGTGCGTATGAAGCCTCCCGTTGCGCTTTGCGAGCTTCCACGCGGGTAACAACTTGGAGTAGGTGAATAATGTTCTGAACGTCACGATACTCTGCTTATATATTTTTGGCAGATTTGAGCCAAGATCTGCCGGTAGTGCCTTGTTAGGCGTATTCCCCAGTTCCACCCTCCATCGCTCTAGAATAACATCCTCGGACCTAGACGCATGTACCTCTGAAGACCTAGAAAGAGATTCCAGAACATCAAATCGTTTCCCTTGCTCATCCAGGGCAACGAGACTTTGGTTATTCGTCAGATCTTTTGTATCCAGATACGTCTCGATGATCAACGGTGGAGGCGGTTGTTCGCTAACGTCGTTCGTTCGCCAAAATCGGAGCTCCTCTCGGAGGGCATCGATGTCTTCTAAATCGATGGCGAACTGGAAGATGGAGCAGAGTAGTTAGCAGAGTACATGGATACTAGGTACAATTGATGGGAAGCAGAGGCTCAGCATATTTGGGGACGTAGCATACCCATCGATTGACTTTGGGATTTAATTTCGGTGTATCGTCTGAGCGAGAGAAGTCGATCCGAGAGGCCAGTATTACTAGAGCAGCTTTTGTGTGGTAATTCTAGACGCAATATACAATTAACCAATGGGCCCTTTGTTACATAGATAAGGGGACTAGAAGCCGGGTTCAATCCATACCGATACGAGCTGATTGAGCTTCGTTATTGCTTCTTTCGCTGGACGTGAACTGGACGTCTGTCCAGATGACCTAGCCTCCGTCTCTATTCCCAATCCCCGTGTAAGTTGTACCCTGGGGTCGAAAGCTGGAGAGTTCGGGCGGAGATCTTGATCTCTGCGGTCATCGGAGCGGTTTGCGCCCGGCCTGGATGCGGAGGGAGGCGCCGCAGGCGCCGGAGATCGGGGGTGTTGATGCATAATATAAATTGCTGATAATTTAGAGAAATGGAAACTAATCGTAACTGAGTCGTCTTCGAGTGGAAACAGCGTCCAGAACGATCGCTGCGTGTATGTCTGTAGATCAAGGAAACGGGGAGGTGACGGTCCCACTGCGGAAGGCCATGCTAACAAGCCCAACAGCCCGAGTTAAGGTCGACAAAGGGAGGAAGATGGAAGAAGGGGAGAAAGGCTGAGCGCTAAGTAACAGGCACTAGTTGAGATAAAACGAGGGACGCCGATATCATCGTTTGCTGTGCTCAGGCAACAATAAGATGTTGGAGCATTTGGAGCATGCGGTCTAGACAACCTTGGGAGCTTCTCCGCACTGACGACTTGGGCGGATCCAGGCGTCCGGGGGTGCACGGCGTTCTCACCGTAATGGGGAGAACCAAGGGGTTTTAGGAACGCATGGTTGAGAACTACAGATGAGGGAAGTAGAGTGGATGGCCAAAGGGGAGGGGAAGAGGTAGTAGTAGGAGAGTAGGATCCACAGAGAAAGGACGAAATGTAGGAAGTGGAAGAATGGAGAGGAAAAGGAAAAGAGAGAGAGAGCGAGAGAGGGAGAGGGAAGAGAGAGACAGGCGTTATGGTACTGAAAGTCAGTCAGTTCAGTCAAGCGTACGGGCGCAGAAGGTCTGTGACGCACACCCGGTGACTCGGTGGTTTGAAAGGAAGCAGGTCAAGTGCGAGCGGTCAGTCAGTCAGGCTGACGGGTGCCACAGCAGGTCCCCCAAATGAAATAACCCATGCGATCTGGGACAATACAATCAATGGCTACGAGAAGATCAGTCTAATCAGTAAGGGAGGGAGTCTTCCACTTGATGGAGGGAATGCTCTTGTGCTCTGTCTGTATTTTTGGACGGACCAAGATTATGGTGCAGGAGGTTAGCAGTTGCAGCTGGAAAGATTAAAACGGGCGATTCGAAGGCGGTCAAGCCGCAAGCTGCGGCTGCAGTTCTGTATGAACCAGTATCAACCAGGTACGGCCCAGTCTAGCGTCTGCGTCACAGAACGGTATCGGCCCAGAGATAAGGAAAGGCTGATCAAGCGGTGATAGCATGAAGTCATAGCCTGATAGGCGTGGCTGGCTGCCAACTGGCACGGGGGCCTGCCAGGCAGTCGTAATTACCCCGTTAGATGCGTGGTATCTTACCCGAATTCGAAAAGAAAAGGGGGGGCTCTTGTCATCTGGAACGGTACTACTAAATTCAGACTATCCCCTAATAGGTTAGCCTTCCTAAAGTTACCGCTTGCGCCTGGGCGATCAATCAACTTGCATGATAATCCCTATCCATGACAACATTCCATGCTTTCTAACTTTAGCCATCTCAGTCTTTCCTGTGGTGCCCGCGAAACCTTCTACACAGCAATGTCGTGCTTTTGGCCCGCTGTCGTCGGTAGACGGCAATTTCTTTGAAGCCAAACAAAATTCAGAGCCAGCTCAACTGACAGTCAACTTGGGATGTCTGCGACGCAGACCGACGAAATGGGGGTGGATCGCAGAGCGCAGACAGCCTCCGAGCACCGAGAGCATGGACCACACACCCCCAAGTGTCCTGGGACTGGCTGCCTCACCTGCAACGGCCTGCAGGTTAGGTGGAGAGCAGACGCCAGTTGCCCGGTCTACAAGGCACTGTACCTTAGCCTGTAGCTATACCTTTCAGCTCGAGCCAATGCAATCTAGCCTACTGTACAACACACTGCCGGCATGATGCACCGGAACTGCGAGGTTTGCAGCCTAGGCGGCTGGCTAAGACCCCTTAGACAACCTAGACTCCTAACTCATCGCAGACCCCGAATCGGGGAAAAATGATAGGTGATGCATCATCCCCAGGAAAATCGTGGGACTCTATCGGGGAAAAAAATAGTATGTTTAAATTTGGAAGTAAAGCAAGCAAGCAAGCCAATGGGCATCGGCTCTGGCGCATCTCTCAAAAGACTTGGATGTGGTTGTTTGGAGCCAGTTGGTGGTACAGCTGTATGCGCTAACCTAGATCACAATAATAGGGCCTGGACACTTCATCTTTCGTACCTTTGTTTGGGCTGTTTCTTTTTGGTGGGTTTGTAGCCTTGTGGCCGACTGTTGCCTACATGATGATAGATAGAATCTAGTACTATGTGAAACCCGTGATTTCTGAGATTACTACAGGCAGCCACAAGCATAGCTTACACACCGCCTTCAATCTCAAGGCAAACATAGTAGTAGCTTTCCTCGTGCCTGAGGCATTAAGGTCTACTCTTAGGAAGGGCCCATTGAGATTCAGTATCATATCTTATGAGATAATGCTAGAAATATTTATATATTACCTGATAACAGGTTCTACAAATACTGTAGTGCGTTATCTAATGTAATCAATCTACAACTACGGAGCAGCTGTAAAATATTCTTAGTACGATGTAGAAGAAACATCATCGGTAAAAGAGACAGTGAAGCCCAAATATCTAGGAGTCCAGACCCACTGCTCGTCGAGGGTCAACAAAGCCCTAAAAATTAATTTCTAGTGATTTGAATACGCTTTCAAGCATTATCATTAAGAACATCTGCCCGGGGTCCCTGCAACAATGTGGAGACGCTGACATTTCCAGCAAAGGCCTACGCAAGATGTGAGTGACAACGAATGCTTGCTAGTAACCAAAGCACAGCATGAAAACCTGATGTATCTGATCATTGTATGCATCCCTGTAAACTTATCTTGATAAGATGGATGGATATAGGGTCCACCTGACAGCATGCACAGGGACAAGGAAGTAGGGTCATGTCAGGGTGTTGTTAGTCAGTTGGGATAGACAAAGCAATGTGTCGAGGGATAAAGGAGGATAGAAAGGGGTAATTTTAGTACAACCACTGATTGACATGGATGATGTGACAAAGAAGAATGGGACGGATGGCCTTTAATGGTGAACAGGGTTTGATTTTTGAGTAAAGACAACGATAATGGCGGCAGCATAGAATACATTTCGAGAGAGGTAGTAGTCATGAGCGGATGTACAACGAAAAGGAAGCAGGCAAGCGCCTAGCCATACTCGCCCAAGAGTGGCAAGTCTGATAAGACTGTGTGCAACGGGTTAATGTAACCTTCACAAATCAGCAATACTAGACAAGATTTTCAGATGGTGGTTGGTTTGTGTTAGCTGTAGAGAGAGGATATTGTATCTTCAAAATAAGAGAGTAAGGGACCAAAATGAAAAAAATATCGCCCGATGCGAGGGTCGAACTCGCAGCCTTCGGATTACGAATGATCATAAAAGTCCGACGCTCTGACCAATTGAGCTAACCGGGCAACTTTTGATAACGTGACAGCCTATCTATCTCTCTTGAATGCTTTGAGCTGGTAGTGGGCTACATTGGCCAATGTGCGATGGTGGAGAAGTGTCCAGATCCACCTGTCAACCGCTTTTACATGGAAAGCGACACAAGATGGCAAAATATTATATAATTCGAGTTATCATATTTTCCACCTTAAGCGATGGTAGGCCATCCATGGCTAAAAACATAATGCCCCGGTAAAAATTTGAGCCTACCATAATCAAAGTGCGAAAAAGAAAATCGCCCGATGCGAGGGTCGAACTCGCAGCCTTCGGATCACATGTGATCGTAAAAGTCCGACGCTCTGACCAATTGAGCTAACCGGGCAATTGTTGGCGGATCTTCAGATGATTTGATACCTAAACCAGGAGTCTAACTTAGGGCATAGCAATGGATATGGAGCCAATATCTTATGCGATACGCCAGGCTTATGGTAATAGTATCCAGATGAGGATATGTGAGATCGCCCCATTCAGAGTAACTCTGTCGGGGAGGATGAGATTAATGAAGAGTCAAATATGTAATATGTCTGTCAACCTCTAGGCGATAGTCCTGGTACTGTTGAGCATTAAGTGTAACCGACCGAACGACGGGGATCTACAACAGATATACTTATGGTAGTCGCACGGGGCTGTAGGGCATGAGATACACATGAATGTTGCGATACTACCAGTGTTTAGTACCTGGATGTAATACCAATTATCTCACATACCAGCATCAATAGCAGAGATGTTAATCTTGTACCAGATGATGATTACACATTTACCTCACGGCTATACGTACTACTTAAGTTCATTAAATGAAATGCTCCTCGCCGTCCGTCGGGGAACATGGAGGGGTGCGCTGCTGCGATTGGCCACCGCCCGGAGAGTATTATCCACGGATCAGAAGGAAAGGCATAATCAGTCTGTGCTTCCCTGCGAACACCCTCCAGTCCATCTTACTTCCTGTCCGGCTAATGGCCTCCATCCCTCCTTGAACCCGGTCATCCGACTTGATTTCGCGGTCGCGTACCTTCCCTCCAGCTTACCCGACGCGCTGAGCCCATCCCTTCCCCGCTGTTCACCAAGACTCCGAGTCGAGTCCAATATTCGTCCCCCGTATAGCTATCATCGCCACCGCATTTCCGCGTTCGATTGGCTTCAACTATTTTCATCGGCAAAGAGCCATCACTCTCAACGTCCCAAACTCCCATCTACGGCCCTGGCATATTCCTTTCGAAAAACCTCCGATAAATTGCACCCCCGCGTTGACCATCGTCAACCCCTCCTATTCTGTCCGGTCAGAATACTCTTGTCACCCACACTCTAGCTGGTGCGCCGCCAACCCTCTGCGGTTACAGCGACGCTCTGGTTCTGGGTTGATAAGAGTTTCTGACACACTACAACTTTGAGCACATGAGTAGCAAGCTCTGGGGTTTCTTCTTTTACGATGACGTTGAGAGCTTTCGGCGGTTCCTGGCAACGGCCACCTATACAACGGGTGGCAGCCAGCGGACGGGAACCGGAGGGGCTTCTCCCTTCAAGCCGGGAAGCCCCGGGTCCGTGATAGCCTCCTCGCCAGGTACGTCGACGAAGAGCAGGAAATTGACGGGGACCTCCCCAGGTACCCCCATACCGGATCGAGGTGGTAGCCTGCGCCCTGGCAAGACGCTATCTCGAGAGGAACTGAATGCCCGAGATCATCATGGCCGAACCCTCCTTCATCATGTGGCGTCTTCGCCAAAAGATACTGCAATCGAATTTGCCATAGCCCTGCTCGAGATTCCCGCTCTTGATATCTATGCGCAAGACTGGGAAAGTGGTTGGACGGCTTTGCATCGAGCTCTATACGCAGGAAATGCAACGATCGCCCAGGCGTTGATGGCTCGGGATATGCGCGACGCTACAGATTTCAGCAAAGCAAGCAACCCCGGGCACCCAAGTGGAGGGTTGATCAGGATCAAGGACCGGGAAGGTTATAGTCCATTCGATGTGTATGGGGCGACGATTGCGACTCGCGATATCAAACGTATCAGCCCCCGGACGACAGCTCAAGCCCCTCTTCTTGCAGATATGGACAACAGCGATGCTGCTTCCGATGTGTCATCCCATGGAGAAGGCTTTGACGAAGACTCACGTAGTATGAGGAGTATCGTGAAGCCCAGAACTAACTTGTCTGGTGACGAAGTGTTCACCTTTGGGAGTAACAAGAACTTGAACCTTGGAGTTGGAGATCAAGATGATCGTCAATATCCTGAAAGAATCACCCTCAAACGACCCGAGCACCTCCTACAACGCTTTTACCGTGAATTTTTGGAGCAACGTTCGAATGACGACACATTTGACCCCGATCAAGAACCTGGCTACTCAACGGACTTGCCAGCGTTAATAAAGAACAAGCCCATAAAAATTCAAAACATTGTTATGTCGAAGCTACACACAGCTATTCTCACTACTGACCCCGAGTCTAACCTCTTCCTCTGTGGTTTCGGGCCCGGCGGGCGCCTTGGTACAGGGGATGAGTCAACTCGATTTAGTTTTGTCTGCATCGACACGGGTGGACTCGCAAATAGGAGGGTGGTTTCTGTTGCCTTAGGCCAAGACCATACGCTGGCGATCACTGACCGCGGCGAAATTTTCAGCTGGGGCAGCAACAAGTTTGGCCAACTTGGCTACAGTCTCCCAAGGAGCAACAATCGGGACGACGTGCCTATACAGAATTCGCCTCGACAGATTTTTAATCCCTTCAAGAAGGAGGTTATCCTTGGAGCAGCAGCGTCGGCAATTCATTCGGTTGTCTTTAGCACTTCTGGTCTGTACACATTTGGTAAGAACGAAGGACAATTGGGGTTGGTGGACTCTGATGCTCGTTCACTCGAACTCCAAACGACGCCCCGGCGGGTAGGAGCATCTCTCTTCAGCGCCCCGATTCAAAGTGTGTCTGCTATCGATCAGGCGACAGCAGTTCTCCTCCAAAATCATGAAGTCTGGGTATTCTCGCAATACGGCTATTCGAAGCTCTTGTTTCCTCTGGATGTCAGTTCGAGGTTCATAAAGGACAGTTTTATGGCTACACGGTATGGATCATCTGTCAATGAGATCGTTCAGGTCAAGTCGGGTGGAAATACCATCTGTGCGCTGTCCAGCTTTGGTGAAGTATATACAGTTCAGGTCAACAAGACAGAACATCCGCCAGTATCAACTTCAACGACCAACCCATCCAAAACCCGCAATTCTTTGTCCCAGCCGACTCGCGTTTGGTCCATTAAGAAAGCCCATATGGCCGCTGCAGATGTAGACGTGGGGCAGGATGGTTCGATCGTCATTTGTACCGTCTCCGGTTCGGCCTGGAGGAAGGAGAAGCGAGGGAAGACGAAGGATGGCGCATCGAAGGATTACAAGTTTGCTCGCGTACCCGGCTTATCTCGGGTTATTGGCGTATCCAGCAATGCCTTTGGGGCGTATGCAGCCGTGCAACGCGACTCAGAGGTTACGAAAGAGCAAATCAGCGTCGACCAATCTACCTTGTGGAAAGACCTCCTTCCTCTGTCTCCATTCAACTCGCTACAGGAAACCATAGACCCGCGGAGTCAGACTGATGAGAATGATGTTCATACGGACATGGAGCCTAACATGGCTATCAGAAGAGCCGTCATGTCGTCTTCAGAGATTGAACCATTGT